TATTAATTTTAAACTTTTGATTAAATAAATTATATATTTTTAACAATTTATTATTCTTTGAATTTTGAATTTTATAAAGATGAAATTCTATAAATTTCATCTTTCATACTGTAGTTTTTATTGATGATAATTCTCAGAAAGGGGAAAATAAAGAATTTTGGAGAAAATTATGATGAAAATACGTTTTTAATTTTGTCGAAAAATTATATTCTTTTCTTATTAATTTGGACTAAATTATCTGTTCAGGTTCTCTGCTCACTTACTGATATGGATTTTATAAACATAAATAAATTTGAGATGGCATCAGATATAGCCAAATATACAAGGTAATTCATTTATTTATTTATTCAAATAGAGTTATTTATTCAAATAGAGTGCACTCTCTTTGAATAAATAGAAATATTTAGGTTTTGTATCATATGAAAAGAATGATTAAATAAAATATGAGTGAAAAAGATGGTCTGATTTAGAACCATTGTGAAATAGGTCAGCAATCCTTTTAATAATTGATAAAACTTTAATCTAGGGGGTCGGTAGGTGGCGGGACTCCTGAACTCCTTCTTTCAATAGGATTCAACCCAACTATTTCTAGACTCACGGTTAATATTCTTCAGGGGAAGAATTTCAGGTAGAAATGATGATGATGATGATGATGTTTAGGAAGAAGAGTAAAGAGAACCATGAGAACCTGGAACCTAATACATATGCTAAGATTCTGCTTGGGAACCATACCAAGGTTCTGTTATAGGAACTAACATGTTGATATCAGATGACTCCAGTGTCAGTGGGATTCACAGCTGTACCCTTTAAACCTTTTTTTCTGTAACAGAAATGCGCAGTCACTTGTGTATAGAAACCACAATTGAAAATATAAATTTGTCAAGAAGAGAAATATGGATATTTATGCAATATTTGACTAGACAAAGCAAGCCATGAATCGGAAATGAAAGATTATATGAAATTACGTCTCTTTAGTCCATTTAATAACTTTTTTTGAAAATATCTCAACAAAGATAAAATATGAAAATTGACATGAATCTACCAAAAAAGTGTAAACAAGTTTTCAGCTCTGATATCCGTTTCCGAAGTAAGAAAGAAACTACAACAAAAATCCACAAAAACTTTGACAGTCCAAAAACGTTGCTACAAATTACGACCCGCCGACTTAGATATGATATATCCTAGACTGTAAATTTAATAAATTTTTATTATAAGTACGCAATTTTACGTACTTTTGTTAAATAATACAATTATTTTGAGATATATAAATAAATAATGATTCCTTTTTCATACTTCACTCTTAGACTTTTCCAATTTTGGACAAATAACCTTTTTATATTTGAGTTCAGAAAATGTTGTGAAAAGAATTTACCAAATAATGTGTTTAGAAAAATATTTCAAAATATATCTAATATTTGTTTTATTTCAAAATATATCTAATATTTGTTTTATTTCAAAATATATCTAATATTTGTTTTATTTCAAAATATATCTAATATTTGTTTTATTGTTGCAGGTTGTGAAAGCAAAGAAAACTGTTGTTGTCAAGAACTGTTCTTCTCCAGAGTTCTCAGAATCATTTCATTTCAAGTAATTTTTTTTATTTTTTTTTTCATGAGACCATGATTACTCTCTTGAGAATCCTTTCTGGAAGAAAATAGATCTTTACTTTAAAAAAAATATTTTAGCTTTTAACTGTTGATTTGTAGAACGCCATTTTTTTTAACCGTAAATGAATAAATGAAAAACCATAGGAATTAAGTTTTCTGATCTTCTAATCGATCTTCGCAATCCAATGATGTACAACTTTGATACTTCAAACTAACAATTTTGTTAAATCAAATAGTGTTATTTGAAATATCAGAGGTTTACACCATCAACAAATCAATTCCTTTTTTTGCGGATTATCTTTTGTTAGAATCAAAAATCGAACATTCTACATTTTTATTCAGACAAAGTTTTTCAATTTCAACCTTCCCTGGGCGGCCATGTCATTGCCCCAAAAAACTTAGCGAAGCCATTTGAACAATTATTTGATAAATAAATATAGAAGATTTATTAATCTTAAATCATTTGCAACAGTTTTCTATTTAGAATTGTTTCTTTTTCTTTTCTCTGAAAAAATAAAAATAAATATTTTCCGAAGATAAAACACGAAAAGAGCATTTTCTCTAGTTTAGCTTCAAGAATGAATTACATCAACTAAAAGGAATGTTTACTTAAAATATAAACACCGTCTAAACCACTTTTTTCATCAGCTCAAAAATATGAACCTTTAACCAAACAATAATTTTAATATTGGTTTCACCTTGCTGTCTTTTTCTAGATAATTTAGTTTTAGATTCTTTGAGTTTAATTTTAGTTCAAATGATAATGAAAGGAAGGGAGGGGTGAACATTTTGGAATAAATTATAGCAATAAAGTACGAACAAATTTTAATATGGTCAAATTGAATTTTGTGATCTGCAAGATTAGAATTGAATAGAAGATTTCTTGAAAGTTGGAAATTTCCAAAGTATCCAGAGTTTCCATCTGTTCTATGGGGTGCAATTTAAAGTTTTTAATGTAAACATATCAAACTGTTAAAGAGAAGAAATAAATTGAAATGTCCGAACGTTTTCCCCTAAAAATAGATTAAAATACAGTCACAAAATAAAGTTATGGTGTATTATAATTTCACTTTTTATTAATCCAACTTAATTTAGTGGCGACAAAAAGAAATATCTACGAAAATAGTCTTATTTTATTCTATTTAGCAAATGGTAACTAACTTTAATCGAGGAAAGATCGGTTTAAAACGATCGATAATTGTTCGTTTTTCAAATATTTTCTCTAAGCTCAAATAGGCTCTTTTCATACCGTAAATCAACCGATTTTTTGGCCCACGTTATGCTGTTACGGTAAAAGGGGGTATAAGGCTGAAGCGGCGAAGCCTAAACATTTTAGGAGTTGATCGCGACAAATATTAGTTTTTGAACTTTGGCACAGTTTTATATCAATATCTCGAGACAGGGACATCAGATAGAACTAATATTGGTCGCGATATTTAGGCTTCAGTCTATGCCCCTTTTCTTTTACTTTACAGCCCCTTTAAGCCGGGTTGGATATTTTAAATTTGCATAGTTAAAAGTATACAACACATTGTATACCGGAGAATAAAGTGATATTTTTTTTTTAATTGCAAAGTTTTATCACGTCACAAATTTTTGGTTCCATGCATCAGATTAAATTTAACCTAGGGTTCAAATTTCGTCTAATTAAATTATTAATTTGAGAATTTTGTCTAAATATTAAATATTTCATATTTAAAGTACAACGTTTCTCACTCTGAGAGAAATGAAAAAAAATATAAAAGAAACGTGAGTACAGTAGAGTACAAAGAACATTACTTAATTGGAACTAAATACAAGTTACTATTTATTTATACGTAGAGGGCCCTGTCAAATTCACAAGTATACACTTTATACCTTTGTCTGATTCTCGACGGAGGAGATACCCTTGTTTTTCTCACTGTAAAACTGTACAACTGTACAACGTGTAAACTCAAGACAGCGCAGTTCTGATTTCTCTAAAATCCCAAATATCTTATGTTCAATGCTAGTTTTTAAGATTTTAATACACACATTTTTTCTTATATTTGAAAGAAAATACTTTTAAAAAAAATGTTGAATGAAAATTTTTATTTTCTGTTACTCCTAGAAAACAAATAAACACTTTAGAGTAAAAAATGCAAAGTAAATTTATTTTTATTGGGCTTCAGTCATTTTAGGTAGACATTTTAAGCTTTAGAGAGAAAAATTATCAAAATTCAAAAAAAATGTTATAACACGTATTTTTATTTAAGGGTTGAAGAGAAGGATTTTGACACTACAAGTATAACAGTCAACATCATGGAGGTAAATTCTGTTTGAAACATATAAAAACACTAAAAAGGTCGCGAATTTTCCAGATTTTGGATTGGTTGGTTTGCTAAAATAAATAATGTAGGATAAATCTTTCCAGGGGCCATTACATTAGAGGTCCTCAAAACAAACTTTAAACCGATCGGTTCAGCCGTTTTAGCGTTTATTGATTTTCTGCTTGGAACTTTTTTCCCTATACAGATTCGATTTGTATTTTCAATCCCTTTATGAAAACTCTAGTCCGTATAATGTGTAGTCCTTATTTTCCGTTCAACAAATAAATGTGAATTAGCTGTTTGTTTACGCGCGGAGCACAAAGTTTAAGAGCAGCAAAAGTAGCAACCTCACTCCAGTATTTATAATTGGTTGTTTATCAAAAAAAAGGACAAGTCGCAGATCTATTTTTGTATAAGTAATTATGTGTGAGTTTTAAAGAAAATCGAAATTATTGTCATTTTTCAGATATAGAAAAAGAAGTAGAAATTTCCACCACTGTTATAAAGAAAATTTGAAAATATATAATATTTGTAAAACCGTTGCAAAACACTTATCTTTCATTTTTTTACTTTGAATTCAATTCTTTTGTCTCTTTTTGAATTAAAACGAATTTCTATTCATATGACTTTTAGAAATTCAAATTTTTCCATTCATTTATACGTTATTTGATGTAATCCAAAATAATTTGAGAAAAAAATCATAAATTTATAATCATCAGAGTTTTATCAAGAAAAATGAATTTAACTAAAAATGTTTTTGAAATTCAATCTTATTCTTACTCAGAGTGTTTAGCAACATCAAGTCTTAAACAATTTCTAACATTTTTAAATATTTGAAATTTCATGGTTCAAATTTATAACTTTGCATATACTCTATTTAGGTCTTGTTTGACCTTCTTTAGTCTAGATCTAATGATATAAAATAACCATAATGTAATTTAATATGAACAGTTAGAGAGAATAAAATAAACGTAAAAAGAGGCAAACTCAAAGGAACTGAGTCTTTGCCACAAACTACAATTTTATAATCTCTGTAAATTTGTAAATCTCTGATATTTCAAGATTAGATTATTTGTTCTAACACGTTAGTTGTAGATAATTCAGTATAAACCAGTTTTAACCGAGTATAAACCAGTATAAACCAGTTTGAACCAACATAAACCAGTATAAACCGAGTATAAACCAGTATAAACCAGTATAAACCAGTATAAACCATTATAAACCAGTATAAACCAGTATAAACTAGTATAAACCAGTATAAAAAACCAGTATAATATTTAGGAAATGTCGTTGTTTGAACGAGACCGAACCATAGGGTACTGCGTCATTGGAGGATTCATGTTTGCAAGGTGATTATCTATAATTTAAATCTTCTCTCGAAAATCGATTTTTTAATTTCACGGGCAACGCGAGTTATGTTCATAAAACCATTTGTTTTGATAATAAAACTCTCGAATCTCTGCAAGTTTCAAATCCAACACTTAAAATTTTAACTTTAATAAAAACTTCAAACTGAAATTGAATAGATTAAATAATATATAATGAGCGTACACACTTTTCAATATAGTTTGGGAAAACATGTTTTCTTCCAGTTCTTTATTTAACTGCGTCACATACATATCATGATACGCAAAAGCAAATAGATTCTAGTACAATAGATGGCAACGTAGAATTTGCACACTCTCGGTACATCTGTATTCTTACGTCACGAGTGTCAACTTAGTTTTTGTATCCGACAAAATTATTAATAATAGTGATAATTTTAAAATAAAGTGCTTATCTTACAGTAAAATAAGTACAATTTTATGTTCTATATTTTCTGTTTTTACACTTTTTTTATTTAATCCTGGAAAACATGTTAACTGATGTGAGAATATTTTGTTTTAATTGTTATATTTGACACTTGTGACGTCATGTATAATTGGTTCATTTCTCTGATGCCACCTATTGTACTTGATAATATATTTGCGCAAAAGTGCATTTTCTTTAAGTTTTGTTTCTTTACAAAACTTACACTTGATTAAATAATATATAATGAGCGTACACACTTTTCAATATAGTTTGGGAAAACATGTTTTCTTCCAGTTCTTTATTTAACTGCGTCACATACATACGCATTCTAGTACAATAGATGGCAACGCAGTATTTGCCCACTCTCGGTACATCTGTATTCTTACGTCACGAGTGTCAACTTAGTTTTTGTATCCGACAAAATAATTAATAATAGTGATAATTTTAAAATAAAGTGCTTATCTTACAGTGAAATGAGTACAATTTTATGTTCTATATTTTCTGTTTTTACACTTTTTTTATTTAATCTTGGAAAACATGTCAACTATTGTGAGACCATTTTGTTTTCCTTGTTATATTTGACACTTGTGACGTCATGTATAATTGGTCCATTTCTCTGTTGCCACTTATTGTACTTGATAATCTATTTGCGCAAAAGTGCATTTTCTTATAGTTTTGTTTCTTTACAAAACTTACACTGTGACTTATAATCGAAGAGAGATAACTCAGTGTATTCGTCTATGGAAAGTTTTTCTAAATTTGTTTTCATTGAATAAAAATATGCTTTTTCGAATTTATTCAATATTTTAATTAAATGTTTAAAATTTTTATATTTCTAGGGGTAAGGGTGAGGGTCACTGGGTAGAAGTCAAGAAAAACATCAAACAGGTAAAAATTTTATATTTTTAATAATTCGTTTTTTAAACTTGCTATATTTTCTACGAGATAAAAATGCATTTTATTGGACTAGACAATAGACATACAGGGTTACCCACAAAGGATGAGGCTTGACGCTTTATTAGATACAAACAAACAAACAGACACCCAAACAGACAGTTATTAAAATATCTCATTTTAGTTTTAAAATGGTTACATCATTTACACTTTTTTAGCGGAATTACCATCTATGAGTTAAATAAGTGGCGAAGCACCTACATGAACCAAATAGCTAAATAATTACTCAAAGAATAATTTTTAAAAAATCCTGTTACATCTGATGTTTGTAATTTATTTCTGTAATTTTTCTGAATATTTTTATTTAAAAATTTTCATTTTACATTTTATTATTCTTTGTACATTTACATAAAATCAATTTCAAAGATGAAGCCTTGTTTCCGCCCAGAGGTTTACAATTTATTTTCTTCAATTTGATCTTATTTTTATTTTACTTTATTTTTATATTAAATTATTTCATTTCAATTTTCTTTCTCGAAAATATTGGAGCTTCAGATATATTATTTATTGAGTTAAACATATCAGAAAATATGATTGCATCTTATTTATACGGAATCATAAGGAAGCATAAAATATAAATTCCGTACAGTCGTCTCTGAAGTCACATCTTTTGTGGATAATCCTGTATATAATTTAAATTTTAAAAAATTCAATTTTTTGGTGAATACTTCTTATGTATAAAAGACGAAATAAATCTACTATTTTCTGGATACAGCTGTATTTTGTTTAGCAAATAGAAATGTGGCATACTCTTGTGGAAAAATCAAAGAAGAAAGACCAGTGCAGTGGTAAAAGATTTTTTTAAAATAATTTTTTTTTATCTGAAAAAGAAGAAAGCCGAGATGCTCTTGCATTAGAAAATATGAATTTTTCAAAACAAGCGTTTTTTAGCATAAATTGAGTGTTTTTTTGTATTAAATAAAAAAACCATTATTTTAATTTAAAGAAAAAAATGCGGAAAAATATCTTTTAATTGAAAATAAATTGTTTTTGATAAAGATATTCTTTTTTCCAGGTGGGTTTACTCCTAGAATAGAGCCTGACAGTCAGTCTTCATACTTTTAGAATAATTTGCAATTAACCTGTAAGCCACAATTGAAATACCACAAAAAGTTTCCGTAAATAAGCAAAACAAAATTAGGCCAAAATACTTTTTGTGGGCTTCTATCTTTGAAAACAATCAAGCCAAACTATTCTTTATAGTCTGTTCTCATATTTTAAAATAATTTGCATTAATGCGCTTTTAGGAGTTTAAGGAATTTAAGACATTAATGTTACCGAAAACGACCAAAACGAAATCAGGCCATAATATATACAAGGAATAAGGATGGGCAATAGCCATGATTCGTTTCACAGAAACTTTTAATGTTTTTAGACTTTTTATTAAAAGGTCAAACGACAGTTTGAGAAGGTTCCATCATTTAAAGATTTTATTCCATAGAAGTTTGCTTTTATAAAACATGCCAATTTGTTACCCTAGAAGAAAATATAAGGCAAAAACTATCGTTTTTTGGTTTATTCAAAATTCGATCTTCATTAAATTTTTGAAAATTTTGAAAATCCACGAAATTTTTTGTGAAAATCCTCGAATTATTTTTGTTTTGTTTTACGATGTACACAAAGATAACATGTTCACAATTAATTTAGAAGATGGGCGCGAAGCGCCTTCTAAGGCTAGTATAATATAGTTTGGTATTTAACTATTTGAGTGTGTTTATCATTCCCTATAAAACTACGTAAAAAAATATGAAAATACCGAGAAATAATTTTTTAGAAAAAAATGTCTCAATTGATGTTAAATCCGTGGCTAATATTATTTTTCTAGACATAAAGTGCTTACAATAATGGTAAAACGTCATTCATCACAAAATCAATTATTTATTACGCTGTAAAAATACTTAAAACAAACAAGAAAGAAGCTGAAATAAACATACAAGTTTTTCTTTGTCAAATAGCACAATATTTATTATTAAACAATGACGTACCTGGAATACTCAAGGTTATCATAAAATCTATAGTAAGCGGAAATAAATAAACCTGAGACCGACATTAAAGAATTTGAGCCGCGGCTCAAATATGTGACGCGACTTAAATGTGGCTGGTTCCATTGAAAATTGTATTCAATGTTTCAAGATTTAAACCGGTGCTCAATTGAAACCGGTTTTTGGTGGATTTGAGACGCGCCTTAAATTCATTAAACTCGGACTCTGTTTGCGTATTTAGAGGATTTGCAACGGTACCCTTGAACACTCTTTGATTGAAATCGTGTGCATTCAGCTGAAAATTATCTATAAAAAATTCTATAAAAATACCAAAAAATATATGAAAAATTACTTGTTTTTTATGCTTGAGCGGTAAATAAGGAAATTAACTTATTATTTACTTAGATAGAGGTTAATAGGACACGGTTCTATATTTGACATACACACACTTTTTAGACGGAGAGTCTCTCTAGCTTTAGGGTTGCTAATCGTCTTTTTAAACGATCAAAAAACAATTGTTTTTCGTTTGGGTTTAAGAAAAAACATCGTTTTTGAAAACGAGCAACACTGATTTTGAGCTTTTAACAAAAGAAAAACGATAGTTTTTTTAACGATCTGTTTTATAACAATCGTTGTTTTAAAAAAACGATAGTTTGCTAATAAATCTGAGTTTTATGATGATTAATTTGATTTTTTTCGTTTTTCAAAAAATTGAAAGTGATCCAACCCTTTTCTACAGGTTACCGCCACTTTTAGTGGTTTTGATAAAATGTCTACAAATCACTTTAACTGTTTTTTCTAAATATTTTTATTTTTAATTTGATTTGCTTTACATAATTAAATTTTGTACTTTTGAACATCCATCATCAAGGCCCCCTCACACTTTATGTCCGATTTGGTTAGTTCTATAATTCCATCTAACAATGAGGATGTTTTTTCCTTAATATGTTTTCTTGAATGTTGAAGGGAGGTATAGTACGTGGCATGGCAATAACAACTACTAGCTTTAATGTATGTACAAAAATGTAATTATATTCGATATATGTAGTATGTACATGAATTATTACATTGATGTAAAATTTAATTTAATTATTACTCTGTGTTTGATGTTATTGTAATATCATAAACCGTTATGTATTATATATGTAACGTTAATCTATTTTCTTTAAGTTTTGTCAAACGATCACTAATATATAAATGTATTAGATAAATAAATTGTCAAAAATTAGTTTTAAATCATAATCAAAAACCAAATAAATTTTTTTTGATGTTTGTTGAGCTTTTATGCGGCTGAAAATTTGCGTGCCAAATTATTCAAAGATCTAGTTTTAATTTTATGCGCCAGTATGAGAAAAGCAAATTTATCCGAGCTGAAAACTGTAGAATGAGATATCCTTAATCCTGATTACTTAATCAGAGATGAAAACTTTAAAATGTAATATCCTTAATCCCGATCGGTAAATTAATCTGGAGATTAATATAAAGAAGAGAACAAGCATTATTTAATCTGGAGATTAAGAAAAAGAGTGGATCAAGCATTGATTCCGATATCCACCATTCAAAAGTTCCCAGCTCTGATTATCCAATAGATACACTTTTTTTTTTCTTCTTAAACCATTCTTTCTTAGATATAGTAGAGAAAAATCATAAACCGGTTATTTAAAATTTAATGAGTCCCTATAATATTTAGGAAATGTCGTTGTTTGAACG